CGATAAGCACGATATCATCCGCGAAAAGCATGCACCATGGGACCCCTTCTTGAACACCTTGAGTTAGGACGTCCATCACCAAGGCGAACAAAAAAGGGCTAAGGGCAGACCCCTGGTGCAACCCCATCCCTACTGAGAATGACTCAGAGTCGCCCCCGGAGGTCCTTACCCTAGTCATAGCCCCATCGTACATATCCTTAATCGCGTGAGTGTACGCAATGGGAACTCTTCTCGTCTCTAGGCACCTCCATAAGACCTCCCTTGGCACCCTATCGTACGCCTTCTCAAGATCAATAAACACCATATGAAGGTCCTCCTTCCTAGCCCTATACTCTTCCATTAACCTCCTCACAAGGTGAATGGCCTCTGTAGTCGATCTGCCAGGCATGAAACCAAACTGGTTCTCAGAGATGGATACCCCTTTTCGCACCCTATACTCAATGACTCAATAACTTACAAAAGAAGAAAAAAAAGTCTACTAATAATCCTTGAAAAAGCTAATAAGTTGAAGCAGAAGAAAACAATGTTTGCTTAATCATATCCAACTAATTTGTGCTTTTGGAATTTTGCTACTTGATTGGCGCTGGAGATTAGGAAACCACAAAATTGTATAATTGAAGTTTTTAAAAATACATAAATTGCGATTTTTTTTCCATTATAAAACAATATGATTAAAATTGTGTGATTCATATAAATTTATCTTTTGTATAGATCTCAATCATAAGTTTAAATTTCTAAAATAATCCATGAAAACCAAAACTAGAAGTTTAATTTGGGATGGAAGAAGTATTTCTTCTCTCTCGAATTAAGATTTCACATTTAATTAGATAGGATTATTGTGAAAGATGAAATTGAATATTTGAGAATTAATTAAGTAGTGTGAACAATAAAAAAGTTATTAATTAAATAAAACTAAAACATTGAATTTATACCAAAATAAGATCTTTTCTATTTTTCATGACTATTATCCCTTAAATAAGGGTGTTGGAATTGTAAAATGTTCATAATTTGCATTATGTGTTGGAATTTCACATTTTTTCATATTATGTTTTGACATAATTAATTTGACATT